ATCTACGGAGGGACATCAGAGAATCACATCGCAGGAATCATGAAGCTGCAGAAGAGAGCTATCAGAGCCATAGCCAACGCTCCGTGGAACGCCCACTCGGCCCCTCTGTTTGTACGGTATGGAATCCTAGACTTCAGAAGACTATACGCCTACAGCCTAGTTTACCAGTTACATACATTCATAAGTCGCCTACCGAAACCAACTCATGGGCATCAGACACGTTTCAGAGAGGCAGGTCTCCTGAGTACGACAGATATGTTAAAATGCAGAAATCGGAAGAGCCCATTCCCAAACCTGACCCGACTGTACAACCGACTCCCAGAGAAGATCAGGATATATATTGACAATCCTTATGTTACGCGCAGAGATTATTTGAAGACACTCCTTAAGAAACACTTCACGAACCTAAGCAACGTCGATATGAAGATAGATACTGTATTGAGATAATCTAGAATAGCTTCCGAATCCCCCCCCCAAAAAATCCATCGTGACCACAAGCCATACCGATTGGACGTATTCTTTTCCGTGCGACTGAAACACGGGTTAGCCCTACCGCAGGCACGAAATTTTTGAGCCCTTATGAATTCTCCAATAAACGCCCAACATGTTATATAAAAAAATCAAAAACGAAGAGATCATCATGCCAGCCGAGCAAACTGGTCTGGTGAAAGAGAACTATTTGTGGAAGGTCCTCATGAAGCGAGGAACTCTCCCCGAAGGAAGGTATGGTGTCGTCTTGTATGGGACAAAGCCGCGGCCCCTCCGGACAAATCTCAAAACCATCTAGGCCGATCGTGTACCAGACCACGTATGGGACTGAACCTGCGAAAATCTCTTTCTAGGTTCAAGGACTGTCCTAAAGGAGTCCTCGACGAGGAAGTGTTCACCTTGTCGTGGTCTCCGACACTGGTTGCCTTGTCCTACCTCCTAGACAGATGCGTAGACGATACGTTACTCATCCAGAAACTAATGTCAGGCTATCGGAAGTGTGCTACGATTGCTGCTCATTATGGCCGCTACGAAGTTTTTGATCACCTTATTCTAGCACTATACAAATTCACCGGTGAGTCCATCTCGGCAATCAGCACGGCAAGGCTATGACTGGGCGCGGCGCAATTGCGCCCTCGTTGGATTTCGGTGAGCGAGAGAGGGATGAAGCGAATCCTCGAGGGGAAGCCTTAGAGGAGACGATTTTTTTAGCGACCCATGGATAATTTCCCATCACAATCAGTGTGGGCTCCACGTAGCAGCTCACTGAGCGCGGACTCGCATTGTCAATCCGCAATAATCAGATGTTCGATCGCAGGTATATCTTCGGCCGATTCACCATTAGGCGTTCTCCAATTGCTCGGAGGCGACCAACGAGCACAATTAACTGCGAAGATGATGTTCACATTGGCTCACAAACACGGCGACGTGATGAAAGAAGGCTGGAAACAGCTTGTTGATTGTTCGCTAATTTTATACAAAAGTGGCCTGATGCCGGCGAGTATGACCACGGCCGACGATTTCGTCGAGACCAAGGGCTGCGTCTCGATCGCCAGAAGACCTCAGGAGAGCAATGCCAGGGCTGAGCACGGACTTATCAGCAGTATCGTCTCCCATATCACCTCGTCTGTGAGCGCGGCTCAGAAGGAACAGGAGGCTCAGCTACGCAAGATCGCGCAGACTTGTGTGATCAACTTCCATCCGGAATTCATATTTTCCGAATCGACGTTCCTGCGCACATCGGCGCTCGAGGAATTGATCAAGGTTCTCATCGCCCCATGCCCCGTTCCTCCCTCGCATTCGTTCGTCAACGACACGGGCTACGACGAGGAGTCGACTGTTTTCGCTCTGGAACTGCTCGTGAAGGTGGTCTTGAAGAATAAGGACCGAACCATCGGCTGCTATTTGGAACCCGATCTAGAGTGGTCGTCAAGCAACAACCTAGACATCCATGTTATTCCGGCAGAGGGAGGGTCCTGAGTCCTGGAACACGGAGCCTGGTCGTGACCCTCATGGCGAAGTTTGGCGGTAGAGAGAGCTCGGATCGACAATCCGGATACCACCAAGCTCTTTCTCTATGAGTCGCCATTGAGAAAACAGGCATTTGTATTGAGCAGGACCGTTTTTTCTCTATTCAAAGCGGTCTTAGGAGTGGAGAGAATTGAAGGCTCTCAAACTTTCGAACCCGCGCCGCGCGCGTGCTCTGCTCTGGCGTCGTCTGCTCCGGAAGACCAAGGGCGGCGGCGGCGGTGTGAGTGTCCGTAGCGCCAACTCTCGATACGAAACAAAAAAGTTTTGATTTCTCGGTTGGCGCGGAGTGGGAGAGAGCTTGTGTTGATGCTACCCGAGCTGGTTCGTGCCCGTTTGAAAGGGAAGACGAATCTCGTTAGCTATAGCTTTAGTTAATGAGAGCATCGCAGTGGAAATGGGAGAATCGACTAAGGATTCGGTCAATAGACAAACTTGGCAGTTCGTGAAAAAAATCCTAGAGAAGGATTATGTTGTGAAGCAGACTCTGGGTTCCGGTGAGTTTATCGGTCGAACTGGCGGTTAGTCCACAGTGATGGAGGTCGACCGGTCCCTCCTGAGATTTCTAGAACAGAAGAGACGAATCCAAGTCCTCGATTTTTCATAGCGATACTCTGTCGGCCTCTCGGATCGATTACGGAATCTTCCTGGTCGACCACTCAGGCGACTCAGTCGCGCTGCGGAATCTCTTGTCGGCTCAGCATTCGACGACGAAGAATTTGACAGTCAGCATCCGTACACCTTCCGATCTTCCGTTGTGTCGAATCGGTCGACATTTAATTCGCCACCAGACGTTCGTAGCCTATGGCCTTCGCTTCGGCTCAAGCTCCCGGCCTCCAATAGAATCAGAAGCTCGAGCAAGCGGGTACTTCTTCGAATTCGCTCAGCTCAATTAGGAAGAGAGATCTGCTCATGTACCACAGGCGCCGCGAATCCACTCCTTAACTTAGGCCACATGGCTCGTAACTATTGGCTACACGTTCTGGTTCGCGGGAAGCCGTGGCTTCAGAAGCTTTACCACAGCTTGCGAGGCGATTGATCACAGGGATCAGAGATGTTCTGGCTAGGAACTCCTGTCCGGAGCTTGAGGCGTACGCGGCGAAGAGCGAGATCTGCGAGCATTCGGTCACGCTCGTCACACATGTGCAGATATGTAGGAGTCGGGTCCAGGCGGTATCGAAGAAAACTGCTGTAGATAAGATGCTTCCGGAAATTCGTTAACTGTACTGCCCTCTCCAATTTCTTGAGCTCATTCTGATCGAATTATCCGGCTCCGGGCTCCCAGAAGCCAGCTTATCTCCATGGAGGGAGGATTTGGGACTTAAGCCGGACAAATGAAAGGTCGGGGATATCGACAGAATTCTTATCACTCTCTCTGAGTGAGACGGGCGACCTTGGGTGGTCGACGAATCTTCATCGCGCGAGCTAGGGGGAGCGTACCGGTTTAGGATCACTCTAGGCGGATATTATGGGGGGAGGGGGCTAGCTGATTTTGGAAAGGTCAGTTATGCGCCTTCCCCGTAGAACATTTCGGGGCCACCCCCCATAACGGGTTAAGGACCAGGATGTCATAACCTCAGGCGCCCTAGGTCCATAACAGGTACTTGGCTTGAAATCGGTACGCTTCCCCTGCGCAGGAAGATCATCTTGCCTGGTATACAAATATTGTCATTTTAGGAGAGACTTTTGAAGCGAGCTTTTTTTCCCAGGTGGATTCGGGAAGGTTAAACAAGGAATCCACCTCATAACCAAGCACAATGTCGCCATTAAAATCATGGATAAGGAGAAGCTCGGTGTGGATCTACCCCGAGTGCAACAAGAAATTAACGCCTTGAAGTCTCTTCATCATCCGAATATCTGCAAGCTCTACCAGGTTAGTATCGATCTGAGGCTCAATTGGTACCGGATAGCATATCTTGGGGATTTATTAGGATTTGACTGATTCTCTCCGCTCCCGAATGCAGGTCGTCGAAACCTTCGGTCACATCTGCCTTGTACTGGAATACTGCGAAGGGGGAGAACTCTTCGATTATATTGTGGATCGCGGTCGCGTCCCCGAGAAAGATGCCAAGAGACTCTTTCGGGAGATGGTTTGTGCCGTCTCTTATATACACTCGAAAGGGTTCGCGCATCGAGATCTCAAACCCGAAAACATGCTCCTGGACGGAGGCAACAAAATCAAGCTCATCGACTTCGGTCTTTGCGCGAACTGGAAACCGTCGAGTCTCGCCCAGAATCTCAAGACTTGTTGCGGCTCACCTTGCTACGCCGCTCCGGAGCTGTTGTCCGGTCACACCTATACTGGAACGGCCGCTGACGTTTGGTCATTGGGTGTGATCCTGTTCGCCGTACTCTGTGGGTACTTGCCGTTCGAAGGTGACAACGTGCGCGCCATAACCAATAAAATTAACAAAGGTCTCGGGGATCTCCCGGATCATCTCTCGGAGCAGAGCAAGGATCTCATCAAGAAAATGCTCACCGTGGAGCCGAACAAGAGGATCACGATGCAGGATGTCACCGTCCACAGGTAGTTCAAATGGTAGAACGGATGAGGGTGGGCAACTCATGACGCAGGCTTGTTCTGGAGTAAAATGAAAATGCTTCGTTCTCAGCTGGGTGACCGATGGGAAACGTCTATCTGCGGCAACTTCCGCCGCCATGTACGATCGGCAGGACTTTGAGGCGGGCATGCAATCGGCCGATCCCATGGTGATCAACGAAATGTCAAAATACTACCATAAACCTCCGACGGAACTCAATGATTCCATTGAAAAATGGAGCTTCGACTCCCAAACGGGAGTTTATCTGACCATGCTAGACAGGTAGGGTTTCCTTCTCGATAATCCGTCGGGGTAAATATTGGACATCCAAAGCTATCGCATAGCTTGATACCATTCTCTTTCCATTGTTCCCAGGAAGAAAAAGGGGTTAATGTACAGAATAGTCAAAGAAGAGGAGCGGATCTCGAAACCTGTGATCCGCAAAACCCTGTTCGAGGATGACGACGAGGATGCTCTTCCAGCTAAGAAGGCGCGAAGGTCCAAAACCCTCGAGGAAGGACTCGACGACGTCGATCTTATGGTCATCAATAGTCCGCCCCAGGTCCGCTTGATTAAAGTAATTTCAGAAGTTTGATTCCTTATGAAAATATCGAGATTCCCACGATTCCCTCGGAAGCAGAGCGATCGAGAGTGACTCACCATGCTCGCTTTCTTTAGGTACGCCAAGAAGCAATGCAGGCCCGTTCACCATTCAGGGTCCCGGAGGCCGCAACGCCTCGTAGAGCTGCTGAAGCCCCTGTGGGCGACTTTGTGTACATGACTCCTCAACGTACTCCTATGAAGTCAACGCTGGCGTCGGGTGGCGGCACGCCCTGGTCGTCGACGAAAAAGTTGTTCGGCAAGGTGCGTCGCGCGCTGATGACTCCCGGTAGGAATGCGGGTCAGGAACCGAGGTAAGTCCCGAGCGATTCTTTGAATTCCTGTGCGCGCACTCTATTGAGCGGTGGAGAATTCCGCGGGAACATCTCTGATCGTCATGCTCCCACGCTACAGATACGTGAAACACACTCAGAACGTAGCCAAAGTGCCTTATGTGGTCGACTATGGAGAACTCCTGCACAAACTCGAGACCAAGCTGCAGGATCTCAATTACAAAACGGAAATCAAGGGATTCGTTATCCGAGGGTGAGCATCATTTCGCAGATCATCTCTCCCCCTCGTGACATTCGAGACGAGCGGGGAATATCTTCGTAGTATCAATTCGGTCGGACCAGATGATATTCGAATCTCATCGTTCTTTCAGATTGAAGCTCTCCGACCGTGAGAACGTTCGACCTGGTGACAAGAAGTTAGCCAAGTCTACCTTAGAACTGGAAATCTGTCGGTCTCTGGAATGGAACTGCCTCGTCATCAAACGGAAGCGTCTGAACGGCAGTTCGATCGATTACGCGAAGGTCTGCGAGAAAATTCTCGAAGTTTGTGGGAGGCAGGTGACTACAGTCTGATTGTTCTGCCTCCTCGATCGGTTCCTGACCCCCAGCTCAAGCCGCGTCGAGGGCTTTGGCTCCGAAGGCCTCGCTGAGAATTGTTCTCTCTCAAACGACGATCCTCGATCCTACTTGAATTTAATAATTTTCGGGCGCATGGATATATTTTTGACAAACCTCAGAATCGACTCCAGCCAATGACTCTGAATTCAATCGGGGGAGCTGTAGTGTCATTGTTTTGTGGACACGAAGTCGTCTCGGCCCTAATTCGCTGTAGTACCTGAAAGCTGATTCTGCTCGAACATCCATGGCATTTCTCATGAATTAAAATGTACATACAACACTCGTGACAGCTCGATACTACGGCTCGTAGGACATCTTCAGATAAATAGTAAAACTTCCGCTATAGCGATTCTATGCCGGTTCTGATGATTTTTCTCCTCCCCGTTCATTTTGGAAGGAAATCTGCGTCAACCGTGGTACTGATCGAGTCCCGTGAATATGAAGCGGTTATTGCCCTCGGCTCCTGTCAGGATGACTGAGAACACGTAGAAAAGCTAATCATCTCTGCCAATGTTTATTCAACCCCCGAATTAAGTCTTCTCCAAAGCCGTTCGGAACAAGCAACGATCGCCAGGGTCTCACGACAATTTGCACCGGACGCTGGTGCTGAATCCTCTTCAAAAATATTGGGATAAGGAGTCGGCTACGAACACGGATATCGAATCGCAGCTGCTCGCCGCAAACTTCGAATACGCCGCGCAGCTCACGATCAGCGCACTGCAGAGAGGACGCCCCTCGAGACTACCTGAAATGAGAGTGATCAAAATGGAAGTCTCCGAGCACAAGAACGAGCGGGGGCGGCGAGCCAGATTCGCTGGTTTGAGGGGGAAAAGTCGTCTTCTGCAGGGGATAAAATCAAGTACACCATGGTACCGGTGTCCGATATGCCGGACGAGCGATGCGATTATTTTGCTGAATGAATTCGTACATTGTAGCATCCGATATTGAGCCAGGAGCCAACAGCCTTCGACCACGTAAGCTGCGTATTCGAGACACTCGGGTGGACTCCAGAGGAGAACACCGAGGTTGAAGAAATTGCAGAAGCTCGCCACGACAATGATGAAGAATATGCGGGACATTCTGAGAAATGATTCGATGTCAGTAGAATGCGATGCGGATCGGAACGCCTCTCTTTCGTGACTGATTCCTCCATCGGCATATCACATCTCACAAGGTGAACGTCTGAGGTCTACAATGCTGAAACTCACTTGAAGAAGTCATTCGAAAACAGGCGAAGGGCAACACAGACCGTCAGAACGTGAGCGATCCAGCCAAGGAGCACCTGCGTGATGATACGCACCACGTTCCATTTGAACTCATCAACCGTTGATTCGAAGTCTCCGGCTTGATTGTAGATGGTCCAAGCGAGGAACATCTCTATCGCAAGCAGAATGATTGGCACTTGGAGGGGTAGATCACCGAGAGCGTTCCGACAGAAATGCCGGTAAACTTCTTTGCGTTGGAGGAAGAGCTTCACTCCAATGATCATCGGTTCGACTCCGAGTAACTCGTCCACGAATTTCCCGCATTTTCCCTGTGGAGTGAAATTCAACGCTGAATGTTCTATTTCGTGCTTCCGCTGACGGATCGAGACGGTGATCGACGGAGGGGGAGCGTGAAGGAGTCCAGAGGTACGTCCCCTCGTGGGCAAGCCCGAAAATCATTCAAATCAAGATGTACTCACACACTCACGGAGCCTTAGAGTACCACAGAATACGTGGTGGAGCTGATCCGTGTCGGCCCCGCAATGAATGCAGCATAATTTGAACGCCGCCATGGAGACGAGCTCTCACTAATCGGTATTACGCTATTTTTTTCCTGGCTCCGGGGATTCGGATTCTTTCTGTGGATTCATCTGTCTCTCTGAATTCATTTTTTCATTCATTCATTCGCTTTATCATCGAGTGATGATAACAAGAGTATATACAGAGGTCGAGATTATTCTGCCCTATATTCTGATGAGCTTCGTACACACTGATTATTATTTAGTCGTGTTTGAGAACCTTCATCCCAATCGCAATATAGTCCTTGCCTTTCTCCGACCATTCCTCATCTCCGAGGCTCTCGGGGACCAGAATCCCAGTGCCCGCTCTGGCGTGTCTTCCTGAGCGCCCTGTTCTGTCAGAGCCCACAAACCGGTAGCCCTTGATTGTCGGAGGTGTCTCATCATTCATCAACCATGTTTCACAGAGGAGGACTATCCTTTCCTCTGTGTTTTCGAACGCATTCATCATTCAACATCACATTTTCTCGTGATAGATTCAGTCCCGGTCATAGGATAGCCTAAACTCCGGCATTCCCCTCCCCCAACGTTCTGAAATGATGGCAATGGAGAACAAATTAGGAGCGATATCGCGACTCCACAATTCCGATCTGCTTCCTTGGCGGGTAGAACTCATTCAAAGCGGCCGACCTTGAGACGCGTTGCTGGCCCTTTCCGCTTTCGAACGTCATGAAAATGAAATGCGGGGAGTACGGGCACTCTGCTGATCGTCTATGCCTACAGGCTCTAGAAAAGGCTGGGAAATGACCGGCGTTCGGGCGGGCTGAATGGATTTCGGACATAGCACCAAGAAACTCATCTATACATAGGCTGAACAAACTAGGCAAACACCAAGCTGCGCATTCTTGCTCAATCGATGATTTATTTGACAGTCAAGCTACATTTGGTTCTCAAAGCTGGCCTCCTGCAGATCCCTGGGGCTGGCCTCCGACAGGGCCCTGGAGCTGGCCCTCGACTGACTGTTGGGACGGACCGCCGCCGGATTTTCGAGCTTTCCATCCGGCCAAGTCGCGAGCTTCGAGCTTGAGTGCCGCAATCCTTTTCTTCGAGTTCGTCAGCTCACGCCGGAGCCGCTTGATCTCGTCGTCCAGGGTATGTCTCCGCACGCGGCAGCCGAGGCTGTTGCATAACTTGAGCGGCCCATTGCGGCGCTGGGCTTCTCCGGCGTACGGCCGACGCTTCGCTGAAGTGATGTCAGCATTTCTGAAACCTCTGGTGCGGAAATCAAGTCCAGAATGAGTCGATGAGATGAATGGTAGGAGAAACACTATTAGCGGGCAATGAAGATCTTTATCCTCTTGATACGACGGTGAATGCGGTCATGGGTTATAATCGAGAATTAGGAATTCATCTCATCGACTCATTCAAGACTTGATTTGACCTGAGGTTTCAGAAATGCTGACTTCGTGCGGGAGCTCTCAAGCTCTTGAACAAGCGCAATTGTCGCCGGGGCCCGATTGTCGCTGGAGACCGGTTGTCGCCGGGGCCCAGTTGTCGACGGAGCCCATTTGTCGCCGGAGCCCAGTTGTCGCCGGGGCCCAGTTGTCGCCGGGGCCCAGTTGTCGCCGGGGCCCAGTTGACGCGCTTCGTGGAATCATGCCGTATTCATATTTCCTCAGCGCGTTCAAATGAGATTGAGGAGCAACAAATACCGAAGAGGGATGCGGATCGATTGCGTGCTCGTCGTTTCCGTTCCGAAGAAGCAAGCGAACGACGAGCTAGAAGTAGACATGTCAAAGAACCGCTCATTTAGGGGGATTGAACGGCGAGAAAGATCCAAGGAAGAAATAGCGAGCGTCTTGTCAAAGCTCGTGAACGCAGCGCCGGACTCCACTCAATTCGCACTCGCAGAAGGCCCTCCGGAAGTAGGTTATATCTGTTGTGGGAATCGACATTTGATCTTACGTGCTCCGCCATGAAATTCATTCTCTTCCCAACATTATGCCGCAGATTAGTCTCACGTGGACCACCGTCTTCGATGTCCCCTCCACATCGCCCCTCTCCGAATCATGGAGAGAGGACTGCAATAGAGTTTACATCCGCAGAGAACTCGCTGTCCACGGAGCTGGTGCAGGTCGCGGCCGCGTCCTCACTTTGTGCCACAAGATTTTCTCGGCTGTCCTTCCAACCTCGGTCTAGCCGGAGCGCGATTTCAGTATTGTTCGCCTGCTGTTAGAGTGGTTCAAAATGAGCAGAGTCGCAACCCGCCGGATAGTCCCAATTTGCCTTGAGGAGGCTCGGGGAGATCAGGAGGAAGTCAAGTCGAGCGATGTCGCTAGGTTTCGGAAAATACCGTTGGAGATTCAGCAATGGCTCTGGCGGCGACGTTAAGCGCCAACTCAAGAGCTTCTCACCGACGCTTAGTTTTTGAATGACCATTGAGCCCGAAAAACGCGCCTTACAAATAGCTCGAGAAAGACATCGCTCCTTGCGGTGATCACCCTGTATATAAAAGCTGCCTATTGCCTCTTTCCAATTGAAATTCGGGATTGGAATCCGGAGCAGAATAAAGGAAAGTGCATATTCCGTGATGAAGATGAGGAGTCTGTGACACGACGCGTCACGAGGCGAAAATCGAGAGGAATATTCGCCGACTACTTCCATGAAAAAAAAATCTCGAAGGGTGAAATCCTCTTCGGATGAAGAAATCGGATGGCCAGGAAGGTTGGGGTGGTTTGCACGCCCCATACGAATTCGCCATGAGCATCTTCACGCCGTGAAATGTCAGCATCGGCATGGAACGTGTCATGGCGTTTTCTTCGGAAAAAATCTTCTCTTCGGGCGACTGCCCATGACGATCTAAGGATATGGCCGACCGGATACTGGTATCTATGTAGCATCTCTCCCTCTATACAAATGCATACAGGGTGGTCCATGGTACCTGATCCAAGTCTATGAGCTTTTCTCGAGTACGGTCGAGAAGAGAAAAAAAGTCTCAGTGCTGACGCCCGTGGATTATCGATTCTACATCGAAAAAAATACCGACCATCGTCCACCGACGGATGGTCAAATGGTAAGCGCGTTCGTCACCTTTCGTGCGAACCTGGATTCATACGTGGAGTGCCGCTCGCGTGGGAGGCAGCGTAGGTTCGATCCCTGGTGCCGGCAAAATATTCCTTAAGGAATATCCGCACGGAACAGCAGGTACTCAGCCCTGATCTTCCCGGTCCTGGATACGTTTGTTCCCCGAAGCAATCTGAATAACATTTCCCTGAATAACAGTTGACTCTATACCCAACCTATGTGGAGTAGGGATCTAAAGCCTCCAATTCGGATCCGAAGTAGCTTCTATCTGAGCTCGATGAGCATGGGTCGGATTTCGCTTTCTTTTGAGATCGAGCATCTGCCGGCGGATCACCCAACGTCGAGGACTCGCCTCTGGGTGTTTACTATTCCTTTCCCCGAGAGAACGGAATGACGACGACTAAGAGAAGGAATTGGGTTCCAGATTTTCGCGCGAGGGCTCCGTCGAGGACCTGGAGAGAGCCAGTAGGAGTTTGACCCCATGTCGTGACGATACTACGAGGAAAAAGACGAAGCACCTCTTTTCCTGGCTGACGCCGTCGTTGGACGAAACAGATCCCGGCGAAATGCGACGAGATGCCAAAAAATATTCTAAAACCTTGAGGAAGCCCCACGGGAAGCATTCAGATAGGGCAACCTTGCAATCTTTTCTTGAAAGTTTGGTGAAAGATCTGCGGAACATTGCTCTCACGAGCGTCTCGGCTGAGAGACTGTTCGGCGCCGCCAGGAATTTGAGGAGGTATCCCCGTGAGCGACTAGAAGACGGGACACCTTCTGCCTTCATCCTTCTCCGTGGCTTCTACGCTCTATGGTAGCCGTCGTCTCAAGTCACTGTAAATTCTCAACCTTATAGGTTTGACTCTCGACTCTCGAACCGCCCGTAGGATCATCGGCCGAAGACCGAAGATAAGGTTCATCGAGATCTAGGAATTATGCGTTCAGTCGCCGTGCACTCTGACTTCCGTTTGGCGATGACAGTGATATGGTGTCGACGAGTCGTTCCCTCTTCCACGAAGTTCCCAAAAACCTTTCATGCCTCAGTCGTGGTACCCAGAAATTATTCGAATGCCATGTATAAGTTCCCTGTTTTCGCGTGATTCCTGTTCCCGGGAGGCCCTTAGTCTCGCAAAACTCCGAAGACTCAGTCAGATCTTACCTTATTGATACTTAGTTGATTTTTATGTACTATAGTGATGTGATATACATATGCTAGGTTCTTGCTATGACTAACACTACACAAAAAAAATACCTGTGTATGTTCTTTGGGCCTCGTTATCTAGTTCCTCGATAATAAAAAGGCGGCCATCTTGCACTGCCATGACTTCTATCGTTCTATCCTGATAGTCGACCTGATCGAAAACTCATTCGTCCCCTCGTTGATGTCGCTCACTGCGGTGGTTGTTGTCGAGATTTGACGAGGACCTGCTTGGGCGAGGAAGATCTCTTATCGGAGTTCAGCTGAATATTGTGGGAATTCTTTGCAGATGACTTCATATCGCTTCGCTCCCCTCCTCACATTCCTCCTCCTATTGATGATTTTCTCGGAACATGGGGGGGGGAGAGAACGGTAGGGGGGGGGAGGAAGCTTCTTGGAGGAGGATGCTTGATTCACTAGATTGGCGGAAGATTATCGCATTGAAAGTACGCAAACAGTCTAAGACTTATTAGGGAGGGTCTGTGACTTCTTTAAGGCTGCCAACGTGTCGCTCAGACCCTCTTCGAAGAGCCAAAACTCAGCTGGGAAAAAACTCCGGGATGGGAACGGCTCGTATCCCCCCTATCCCCCCTATAGAATAAAAGCGCAAGCGCTTCGTTCGAGAACGGTTTTTCGGCTCTTTCTCCCCACCAATTTCCGCGCACATGTGCTTCGGCGGTCGCGGAATCATGCCCCGGTGTGCAAGTTGATGTTTTCTCCCTCATCTTCTGCCCCTCCGCCCAGTCATCGTCGAAAAGAGGGAAGATCATGCTACTCATTCAAAATCGTTCCGGCATCTGGAAATTCCCGAAACCGAACTAGAAGGAATCGACGCAATGAGTATCCTAGGGTTCATCATTTAAAAGTAGGATCATCGACTAAGAGATCCCACGACCAACTTCATCGTTCTCTTCATCATCCTTGTCAGGCTGCATCATGGAAACGGATGATTCCAGAAGTCGAACACGGGAGATCACAGGGATTGGGTTAGGGTCACAGATCTTTGGAATTCCGACGATTCGTTCTCTTCAAATAGACTGAGCTCGCGCCCAGAATCCAGCTCCCTATGAGCATGGAGTCTGCCAGGAATGATATCGGAGGGCATAGACTCGTACCCTTACACGAGAACGCCGGGAGAGCGAAGTTTTTTCGTCTCCTCTTTCTTCTTATCGCCCCATTTCGCCTTGAACTTCGATCTCAACGGGATCCGCCGAAAAAATATCGAGAAACTTGAATCCCAATTTATTCAATGAGCCATCGGCTAACGGACATCGGGATTCTCGCTCCAGATTCTCTTCTCATCGAAGAAGTTGCCTCTCGCGCGAATAACAGCCGCACGAATCCGCTTCATCCTCTGCGTCGAGTTGACCCACACGTCTTCCGCTACGTCGGCCCCTGATTTCTGCAGCTCGCCCCAGAGCTGATCTGCATCCGTGATAGGGGTGTTTCTGATAGCTCTATCGAGGTGTTCCCATAGCAGCTCGATCGGATTCAGATCGGGACAATCGGGACTCTGCAGGGGCCAAGTCATCATTCTCAGGTGGTTTCTCGCTGCATCAGTCGGGAGGTAGTTTTGACATTTGCGTGAAGTGTGTTTAGGATCGTTATCCTGTTGGAATGTGGAACCTTAAATAATTACTCCGGAAGGAGCGTGGGTGTATTTGAGAGTACCATCAAACTCGCCGTCAGCAACAACAGGATGGGTTCCTAGTGACTCTTCTAGCTTCACTACTCCAGGAAAGATTTACGACCCGTACCTTGGAAACGTCTCGTGGTGCCGCAGATACGGAGTTCTTCAGGGACGAGAGAACCGGTACATGACATCTCAACGCGGGGAAACTCACCGCAGACATCTCAACGCCGACACCTCAACGCCGGGCAACTCAACGCCTGGACATCTCAACGCTCGACAATTTAACGCCGAGACAACTTAGCGCCGAGACTTCTCAACGCCGACCAAGTCAACGCCGGACAACTTGACGCCCAGAACTTAGCGATTAAGCTCGTTTCCGGCCAGAGAAAACTCGATCTCAGCGCTGTCAATTATTTTATATTTACACATGATGTTTTTCATTTTAGCTCACGAAGAAAGTTTACATTAACGAGGCTACTCCATGGTTCCATTGACACAATTATGGTTCCATAGTGAAATTTGAAGCACACCCTCTCAGATACTCAACGACAGTGTAGGAATTAAAATTGTTCACTAACTCGAACAATTTCTTATCGATGTTGGCATACTTCTTACGCTTCGCTGGCGGTTGAGCACCACTCTCAAATCGAGCTAAGAGCATATCTCGGTGGTGCTGTACTTTCTTCAAACCATCGATGAAGCGCCATAAATTCGGGTGGCTAACTCCGAATTCGGTTTGGAGCCTCCTGTGCGCTGCTTCAGCATAATTGTTGGTTCTAGAATCACCCTCCAATGTACGCCAGTATACAGACCAAATACTGGATGAGAAGAGGGGATCCCGCCTGACAATGGACCCATCGGGAAGTATGTGAAGCAAAGAACCCACGTAATTATCTTCGAAGTACTTCAAGGCGGGCATCAGCTCCTGAGGAAGTGCGATGGCAAGCTCCGCAATAGCATTGTCGATGTGAACTGGCGGGACAAATGCAAGAGCGGTTATCATGCGGGCGCTCAGTGCGAAACTTGCCTCTGCTCTATACCTGCCAAGCAAATTGAGATCCCCGAGTTTTTTTTCAAATTCTGAACGAGATGGAACAGACAGCCGTGAATCTGGGCCTCAGGGAACGCGGCGATGAACGAGTTGATGAGACCCTTTTCATAATCCGTGGAAATGACAGCAGGATTGAACGATGGCCATGCTTGACAAATCAGTCCGATCATGCGCGCGTAAGTCGCTTGGCTTTTGTCCGGTAAAAGCGCGTAACATACAGGTATTACGAAGTTGTTCCGCTCTGCGAGGATTGCAACAATTTGGTAAAAACACGGAGGCGATAAAGAAAAGGTCCCGTCTACGTAAGCTTTGCGCGAGTAGCCAATCCAATCGCCTACGGCTTCACGTCCAAAGAGAAGTATTCTCCTCTGGTCTCCTTCTCCTGGAAGAATTGAAAACGATTCAATTTAATTGAAGAAGCACTCCTTCCATTTGACGAGTCGAATGATCAGAAAACCAAGGAAGATGATTTCCGCTCGTATTGCGGAGTATCTCACCGGTATCGCCGATGAGAAATTTTTCGAAGCTTCCTGGCTCTTTCTCGTACATTGTGTATTCGTCAGGTATCGAAATCGACGCCCGATCTTGCGGTGTCGCCATTGGTCGCATCGATTTTTTCCTAGCACGGTTAACTGATCTAGACAGCGTTTCGGAGCTGGGGAGCACAAACTTCGCCGCTTGCGTGGTCCTCTCGAAAACAGATTCGATTAGTTGCAGAGGGGTTTCTTGTGTCTCGAGAGCCTTTTTCTTCAAATACATTCGGCGAGCCATCACTTCGATCGCTGCCGGTTCGGCTCGTCGCTATGTTTTCCGTTGCGTTTTCTACCACTTCTCCAGTCGACAAGGACGTATGAAGTCGAGCTCTGCAAGCACCGAGGAACTGACACCTCCAGAACTGTTTCTCTCCATTTTTGCTGACTCCGTCCTGGACGTAAACGTACCCTTCGTGGGCCCGTTTCCGCTTGCCGCGCTGGGTGTGCAATTCTTCACCGTTTACGTTCATAGTTGAAGATGATGTTACCGATTACCAGCGGTTCGAACGTAAGACAGAACGCATGGGGCTCGAATCACTCGAAATGTGACGACGCGACGTCGCAGTCGGAAGACAGACACATGCAACATGCAGTAATACATGCGTGATCGGCGCAGCGACATCACTCGAGCCTTGACTCCTATTCTGGCGTACAGTTTATGGAATCGGGTTTTTACGGAATGCCGGTGCATTCTCGGCGATGAGTTGTCAAACGTTAGGTTGCCGGGCGTTAAGTTTTCTCGGCGTTGGGTTGTCTCGGCGTTGAGTTGTTCGGCGTTAAGTTGTTCTCACGCTAAGTTGTCCGGCGTTCAAATGTCGGCGTTCAGATGTCTGCGTTGAGTTATCCGGCGTTGAGTTGTCTGT